ATCAGGGATAAAGTAGTCCTAAGCTGAAGTCTTACTAACTTTACTATAGTTACCACATAATTTGTAATTATAATACATAATAAAGACCTAAGCAAAGATACCACCTTAAAAAAAAAAATAAATAAATAAATAAAAAAAAAATAACAAATTTATTTAAATTTTGTATAAAGATTTAACTATATAAAATTACAATTTGCGAATATTTATAAGTTGTAAGCTCATAAATAAATTTGCACTCAAATATTCTGTGCCAGGTTTTGTCAATCATCTATCACATGATTATTTTTTGGTTACACGATTATGCAACTTGTAGATCATGCCCATAGTTCCTGTGCATGCTTGTATAACTTCAATATTTGTATGCACTTAATATGTAGATTAGTACGAATACATAAATTAGTGCATAAAACATACGAAAAAAACATGTATATTATATTTTAAGAATTTTAAGATAAATAATATGCATCACCACAGATACAAAAAAATTATTAAAGACTAATAAGCCAAGGTTGTTTCTGACAATTTTTTCAACAATGCAATAATTAGAGCTTTTTTTTTTGTTCTATTTATTTTTTTTTTTTTGAAAATAAGTAAAATATCGCTATTAAAAGTAATGCTATTTTTTTTAAATATGATGACTGATGACATATATACATAATACACAAGAATTTTAAACACTGCTACTAAATAAATACAAGATAAATTCTAATGACGGATTTGATTTTTTTTTTCCAAAGTTTGATTATCGTAAAAAAAAACAACATTTTTCATGTATTTTTGTGGCTGTCAAATTTCATCACATAACCCCCTTTTTTAAAAATACTTGTCTAGATTTTGTGATTATTCACTTCTTTAGTTTAAATAAGATGGAGATGCCATTTGATATGCAAACATTAATTTATTTCTCTAAACCATTGGAACAATTACCTGAAAATATTGCAGCTATCCTTTCACCAAATTATAATTATATGGTTTCCGAGGTTCAACAACTTCCTGATTATATTACACCAGAAGGATTTTTAATAAATCAATTTAAAGCAACCTTTTTTGTAAATGTTAGTAATATTGAAGACTTACAAAAATGGTTTACTGAATTTGAAGAGGCATCAAAAACAACTATACCTAAGACGAAAGGTTTTCAATTACAAGGGAAAAAAGTTATTTTCAGAGAATTGTGCCATTGTATACATAACGATAAAGTAAGACAAAAACAGGGAGTCCTATCTTAAAAAAACCTCATTCATTATATATTAGAAATACAGAATGCGCAGCTATGATCTATCTTCGAATTAAGCGTCGAAATCTCCAAACTACTTACCTACTAGAAGTTAATATTAACTTTGCACATAATCATATTATTCATAGTGCGAAGTCTCTTAGCTTTCGATGTGTTAAAGAGGAAGTTCGTAATAAGTATCTTGAGCTCTTTACTAATAGACATTCACCAGCAACAGCCTTACATATTTATGAGGATAATCTTTATTTTGTATTATAATTACAAATTATGTGGTAACTATAGTAAAGTTAGTAAGACTTCAGCTTAGGACTACTTTATCCCTGAT